TTTCAATAATTTTAATGCGTGCCATCTAAGAAAGGAGGAAGATTTTTAGAATGCCCCTCAAAATTTTGAAGATTGTAGTTAACCATTACCCAAGATTATCAGTTTTTTTAAGAATGAGCACCTAGCTATGATACCAATTGAAACCCAAGAATAGCTAACTAAGAGGGGATGAATTGGTTTTTAAAAGTTTTTTAAAGATTTATCCAAATTTACGCAAGTTGAGAATGAATAAGTTGATCAAACAAAAATGCACAAGCATGAAAGTTGATGACTGTAATTCAATCATTAAATTAACACCTCTAAATCATGTTTTTGGTTTGTTTTTGAGCACTTTTGAATGTTTTGATATGTGTGTTTGTGTTGTTTTGTAGTTTACACAACTTTTGGAAAAATGCCACAATTTGGAGCTTGTAATGGATCTACAACTGATCATAGAAATGGAGCATGAATAGGAGAGAATGGAAGAAGATTGAAATGGAAAATAGGCTTGGAGAATGAGCAATTTAAGAGAAAGATTAGTTTAGAAGACACCATGGTGCCCAAGAAATTGAAGGTTCAGCAGCGAGCTGGGCGCTGAGGAGCCAACTCCTGGGATCTGCAACGTCCAGTACACAAAAGAAGAAGCAGAATTGCTGACGTCGTGATGCTAGCCTTGGACACTATGGCGACATCACTCGCTCATATCGTAGCACTGCGGTGCCGGTGATGGGCACCGCGATGCCAAGCTCGAGCACAGGAAAATCCCTTTTTTTTATTAAAACTCGGCCTAAATCGTTTCCTAACCATCCAAGCCTCCAAGATAATATAAATACCAAGGTAAAGACCTAATTGGAAGGTTTGTTTTTCTGAAAAATCTTTGGACGGCTGGAGAGTGCAAAGTAAAGAATTATCAAGAGGCAAAGAGGAGAAATTCAATTGCATCAAGATTGACAACCATTTTAGGAAAGAACACACAACTTAAACCAGTTTTTCTTATCCCTTTACCCTTTCCCATGTTCTTTATTTTGTATTCTAGCATGCAAATTGATTCAAGTATGAACTAACTTCTTAGATCTAGGTTGATGTAACCTATTTGAGACATGAATTGATTCCAATATAGTTATTTCTTTTAGCTTTTCCAGAATTTATTTATGTTGTTACATATTTAATGCTTTCAATTGCCCGATCACCAATTGAATAAACTGATGCTATAAATTTGATGCTCGAGAGAGAGAAATTTAGACGGGATCTGGAACAACATAACCTAGATTCGTAGGTTTTGAGAGAAAATGCGAATCTTTGAGGGTGAAACGGGAACCAAGAGCTTAACAGTCTTTTTATGTTTAATTCGAAATAGAGATATTGGGATTAAAATATAGAGATAAGTTCTATTGGCACTCGAGAGAGGGAATAGAATTAAATTAGGGTTCTTGCCTATAAATTGGGGAACAAGTTGATGGAAATAGCTATAGAGGTTGAGAAACGTGTCGATAATACAGTGAAATCATTCCCTAGACAACCATAACCTGATTGATCTTTAGAAATTGCTTCATTTTACTTGTATTCTTTATTTCATTTACATTTGGTTAGTTTAAAAACATCATTTTAAGTTTGAGTTGTCTAAATAAAGTGAAAATAGAAATAATTATAGTACTCAGTGGAACTCGAATATCAATTCTTGTGGGTTCGACACTTTTCAATTCTTTACTTTACTGCAAAACTGGATATCGTACACTTGCGGTTAAATTACGTTATATAAAATGCGTGGCAAGTTTTTGGCGCCGTTATCGGGGATTGATTCATTCGAATTCAATTGATATTATTACCAATTAGCGTTCATTTTAATTTAGGATTTTATTTTTATCATAATTTAATTTTTCTTTGTTTTGTGTCTATCTCTAATAGTTTCTGTGCATTTATTTTCAGCTGTTTATGCGATTGGCGAGAAATCTAGACCTACTACCTATTGATCCTGAACCAAATCACACATCTCACATTCTTAGAGGCATACAAAGAAATGAACAAAAAGCAATGGCAAAACAAGATGCAAGAGTAGCTAACGAAGATAATCAATAAAGTGCTATTCGAGACTACATAAGACCTATTGTCAATGACAACTATTTTCGGCATCCCAGGCCCAAAAATTGCTACAAACAACTTCAAATTGAAGCCACGACTAATACATGTGGTACAGCAGAATCAGTTTGGGAGTTCTGCAATAGAAGACACAAATGCTCATCTGGGGTCCTTTTTGGAAATTTACGATACGGTGAAGATGAATGGGGTCACTGAAGATGATTTTAGACTTCACCTATTCTCTTTCTCTTTTAGGGATAAAGCAAAGGCCTGGTTCCAATCAATACCGTGTGGTTCAATTACAACTTGGGATGATTTGGCTCAAAAATTTCTTACCAAGTACTTTCCACCTTCTAAATCAGCTCAACTTCATAGTGAGATTAGCCAATTCAAACAATTCAACTCGAGCCTTTCTATAAAGCCTGGGAGAGGTTTAAAGACCTTCTTAGGAGATGCCCTCAACATGGTTTTTAGAAATGGGCGTAGATCGAGATCTTCTATAATGGGTTGAATGGGCAGATAAGAACTATGGTAGATGCAGCTGCAGGTGGCATTTTAATGGCTAAAACAACAGAGGCTGCATATGCCTTATTGAATGACATAGCCACAAATAGTTACCAATGGCCGAGTGAGAGATCTAGTGTAAAGAAAATAGCAAAACTTTATGAAGTGGATCCCATCACAGCACTAGAGCTCAGGTTACGTCACTCATGAATCAGATAGTCACACTTACTACTCAAGGGAATCAACAGAAGGCAAATCAGTCATGAGTGCTTCTTCATCACACCAAGAGACAGAGGTTGCAAACGAGCAAGCTCAATATGTCAGCATCAGCAACTACAATTAGAACAAAAATTACTCCAGGGCTGAGAAATCACGAGAACTTGTCATAGGGCTCATATGGCAACAATAGAAACATACTTCAACCTTCACCTGGATTTAACACTCATAATTCGGAAGGGAAACCATCTTTAGAAAACATCCTTGGGATATTCATTTCTGAAACAAGATCCTATTTTAACAAAGATAATATTGAAACGCATGCATCCAACATGGGAGCCATAATGAAAAACTTTGAAATTCAGATTGGTCAGTTGGCCACCTCGATGAAGTCCCAACAACAAGGAAAATTTCCAGGTGATACATAAGTCAACCTAAAAGAACATTATAAAGCTGTTATATTGAGAAGTGGAAAGCAAGTTAGAGATGGTGAACCCACCAAAGAAAGCGTTCCCACAACTAACAAGGAGAAAGAACAAGTAGTAGCAGAGTAGGAAAATCAGGGCAAAGGAACAAAGAAGGGTCACAAACCTTATTCCATATCCTTCCCTGACAACCCACCAATTCTCACACCACCACTTCCATTTCCATAGTGTTTTCAAAAGAAAAAATTTGATGATCAATTTGCTAAATTTTTCAAAATTTTCAAGAAAATTCACATTAATATTTCTTTTGCAGATGCTTTGAAACAAATGTCAAACTACAAGAAGTTCATGAGGAAGTGATGTCAAAGAAGAGGAAGTTGGAAGAGTGTGAAACAGTGAAATTGACAGAAGCATGCAGTGCTATACTTCAAAAGAAACTTCTAGGCAGTTTCACTATTCCCTGCACCATTGGAAGCTCTTCTTTTGACAAAGCCCTCCGCGATCTTGGAGCAAGCATCAACCTGATGCCTTTATCAATGTTCAAGAAGTTAGACCTTGGGGAGGTCAAGCCGACAACAGTAACCCTACAACTAGCTGATAGGTCCCTCACATACCCATGAGGGTTTATTGAAGACATGTTAGTAAAGGTCGACAAATTTATCTTCCCCACTGACTTTGTGGTATTGGATATGGAAGAAGATCAGGAAATCCCATTGATCTTAAGCTGGCCATTTTTAGCAACAGAAAGGGCGTTAATTGATGTACAATGAAGGCATTTAACGTTGAGAGTGAATGAAGAAGAAGTGAGGTTCAACATGTACTAAGCTATAAAGTACTCGGATGACACTGACACTTGCAACAGGATTAACGTCATTGATTCTACGGTGAGAGATGAGAAATTATACGTTGAGGATCCCTTGGAGCAATGTATGATGTTTAGTATAATAAAGGATGACATTAGCACTTCTGGAAAGTACACAGGGAGCAAGGACCTGGTTGACTACATACTGGTTCTTGAGTCTACACTAGTAGAGGATAACACATCACAGTGTGAGGATATTCAGCAATCAAAGGAATCAAATGACAAAGAAAGTAATGAAAGCAGCAAAATTGAACTAAAGCAAATACCAGAGCACATTCGCTATGCATTTCTGGGGGATAACTCTGCATTTCCAGTGATCATCTCTTCATCACTTACCAGGGATGAAGAAGACAGATTATTGAAAGTGTTGAGGAATCACAAGACTGCTTTGGGATGGTCGATAACTGACATCAAGGGAATAAGTCCTACAATTTGCATGCATAAAATCCTTATGCAAGAATCTTACAAGCCATCTATTGAACATCAGAGAAGGTTAAATCCAGCCATGAAAGAAGTGGTTCGAGCAGAGATACTAAAGCTACTAAAGGCAAGAATCATATTCGCCATTTCAGACAGTGAATGGGTTAGCTCAGTACAAGTCGTGCTAAAGAAAGAAGAGATGACGGCAGTTAAGAATGAAAACAATGAGCTAATTTTGACAAGAACAGTAACTAGATGGAGGGTGTGCATTGATTATAGAAAGTTGAACAAGGTAACTAGAAAGGATCATTTCCTACTCTCCTTTATTGATCAAATGTTGGACTGATTAGCGGGCTACTCTTAATATTGTCTTCTTGACAGATATTCGGGCTACAATCAAATTGCTATAGCATCATAAGATCAGGAAAAGAAGACATTCACCTGTCCTTATAGAACTTTTGCCTACAGGTGGATGCCATTTGGTATGCAATGCACCGGCCACTTTTTAGATATGCATGATGGCGATCTTTGCAGACATGGTTGAGGACATCATGGAAGTATTTATGGATGACTTTTCGATGTTTGGTACTTCTTTTGATGATTGCCTTTACAATCTCTTGTTAGTGTTGCAATGCTGTAAGGAAAAGAATTTAGTTCTTAATTGGGAGAAATGTCACTTCATGGTATAAGAAGGTGTTGTGCTACACCACCATGTTTCAGCAAGAGGACTTGAAGTTGGCAAGGTAAAAATTGATACAGTTGCAAAGCTTCCACCACCTACCAATGTCCAAGGCATTCGGAGTTTCTTGGGACACGCTGGATTTTATAGGAGGTTCATCAAAGACTTCTCAAAGGTACCTAAACCCATATGCGACCTTTTGGAAAAGGACACAACATTTGTATTTGATGCAGGCTACTTAAGAGCATTTGAAACCATAAAGGAAAAATTAGTGACTGCTCCAGTGATGGTAGTACCAGATTGGAATCAATCATTTGAGGTTATGTGTGATGCTAGTGACTATGTAGTAAAGGGTTCTAGGAAAAAGGCGTGAGAAGATATTCTGGACAATTCACTATGCGAGCAAAACCTTTAATGGAGCTCAATTGAATTACACCACAATAGAAAAGGAGATGTTGGCAGTAGTCTTTGCATGTGACAAATTCAGATCCTATCTTATTGGCACCAAAGTGATCATATACATAGACCATGCTGCAATCCAATATTTATTTGAAAAGAAAGATGCCAAGCCATGCCTAATTCAATGGATATTGCTACTGCAAGAGTTTGATGTAGAGATTCGGGATAAGAAAGGCAGTGAGAATGTCGTTGCAGATCATCTGTCACGGTTAGAAAATGAAAATGTAGTGGATGAGAATCAAATTTGAGAAACTTTTGCTAATGGGACCTTGCTAGCTGTGTCAACAAAAATCCCATGGTATGCTGATTTTGTTAACTACTTATTGTTTGGAAGATTGCCACCTGACTTGACCTTCCATCAAAATAAGAAATTCCTACATGATGTCAAGTCTTATCTATGGGATGATCCAATACTATTCAAGAAGTGTGCTAATAGAATAATCAGGCTATGTGTCCCTGTGGATAAAACACGATTAATCATGCAGCGTTGCCATTCTTCACTTTATAGAGGTCATTTCGGTCGTATATACACTGCTTCCAAGGTATTGCAATCTGGTTTCTATTGGCCAAATCTGATCAAGGACTGTTATGCCTTTGTGAAGACATGTGACCGTTGTTAGCGTACTGGAAACATTTTAGGACATCATGAGCTCCCACTAACTAATATGCTCGAATTGGAGTTATTTGACGTGTGGGGTATAGACTTCATAGGTCCATTTCCACCATCTTTTGGTCAGGTATACATTTTTCTTGCAGTAGACTATGTGTCTAAATAGGTTGAAGTCATTGCCACACCAACGAATGATGCAAAGTTAGTTTTGAAGTTTCTACAGAAAAATATCTTTACTCGGTTTAGCACACCTAGAGCAATAGTAAGTGATGAAGGTACACATTTTTATAAAAAGCTTTTCAACTCCCTTTTGGCTAAATACGATGTCAAGCACAAATTGGCACTTGGTTATCATCCGCAATCAAATGGGCAAGTAGAGGTATCCAACAAAGAGATAAAACAGTTTTTGGAAAAGACAGTGAACACCAACCGCAAGGACTACTCTCTCAAACTAGATAACGCTCTTTGGGCATACCAGACTGCCTTCAAAACACAAATTGGAATGTCACCCTACCATTTGCTATTCAGGAAAGCTTGTTATCTACCAATGAAATTAGAGCATAGAGCTTATTGGGCTGTGAAGAAGTTGAATTTGGACATGAAGTTGGACGGTCCACAACCCTTGCTGCAACTTGATGAATTAGAGGAATTCTGAAATGATGACTATGAAAATACAAAAATATACAAGGAACGAACAAAAATGTGGCATGACAAGAGAATCCTAAGGAAGGAGTTCAAGATAGGAGAATGAGTTCTTCTATTCAATTCCTTGAAGCTCTTTTCGGGCAAACTTAAATCCCGATGGTCGGGACCATTTGTAATTCGTAAGGTGTTATGGTGCAGTGGAGTTAGTAAGCAGGGATGGGTCTACCTTTTAGGCAAATGGACAATGTCTCAAGCATTACTATGGTGAAGAAGACTGAGATGTGAACGAAACTACCCTTGAAGAACCACATTAAAACCATATCACATACAACTAAAGACGTAAAAGAGGTGCTTCTTAGGAGACAACCCAAGTTCTATCCCTAAAAGTCCTTTCAATAGTTAGACATTTTCTTTTCTTCTTTGGTAACTTTAGTAATTTCATCTTTTTTTTTTTTTTTTTTTTGTAGAGACATGCTCAAAAATGGTTGCATCAACACTCTAGTCAACATGGGGAAGTGAGTACATTGGAGGTAAAATAAAAATAAAAATTAAGTTTCTTTTTTGGAATAGATGGCGTCGCGACGCCCATATTGGGTACTGCTACGGATGGCAAAAAAGCTCTAGGGCTCAAGCCGTCCATGTCTCGGCCTGTAAAAAGCTCAAGCCTACTTAGCTCAAGGCTCAATCAGATCGAGCCTAGGCTCGGGCCGAGCCCCATCTTGGGGTGCTGGGCAGGCTTGAAAAAAGAAGAAGCAAGGTAATGAATAAAAAAATCGAGTCGGCTAGGCTCGGCTTTTTGGCCGAGCTTTTGCTCGGCTCGACTTAGCTGGTGCCAAAAAAAGTCTGTCTTCAAAAAGCTCAAGCCGAGCCCGAGCCTTGATTTTTGGCTCGCGAGCCGACTCGACTCAACTTGTTGCCATCCCTAGGCGCTATAGCCCCAATTAGTTTAAAAAAATAAAAAAATAAAAATTAAATTTTAACAGAACACATAGCGCCCAATTTTGGTGCGACGATGCCGGATTTTATTTTTAAAAAATCAAAATTTTTTCTTCTCTCTTTTATCTCACTATCCCCAAATCCCTCTTTCACTTTCTCTAGTTCTCTCGCCTCCTCCCC